GCTAGAATCCCATTTTATGTTAGTAAAAAACTAACCTGTGTAGTTTCCTTTCGTCCGGGGCTCACAAGACTACAGCTTTCGACGTGTTTCTTCATCTGAACCTGAGTTGTGGGCCTACATATCTGTTTGGCCTGTCCCTTCAGCACTGAAAACATTTCACATATCAGTCTCTCTTCTTTTTACATTATTTTCTGCCACCATCCTAATCGAAGTTCCTTAATAATATTCTGGCCTAGATTATTGAAAAACCCTTCTAACCAGGCACCTTATCTCCAGTCACTCTCCTCCCCACCCCGCCTGCATTCATCTTATACACAGCTTTTATTCCTAACTTGGCTAGCATTCTTATTGCCACTACCCTCCAGACTTCGTAAGCTTCCCATGGTCTACTTGCATTTCCAGAGATTCAAAATTGCCTATAGTCTGACGAAACACTTTTGTGTTTTACACCTCTCTTCTCTCCTACTCTGATCTTCAGTTCACTCCTGCCCCCAAATACCCATTGAATTTTCCTTTCTATACTTTTGTACTTAAACCATTCTGCTCTTTGAAAATAACCTTCTCTGTCTTCTGAGGTTTCCCAAATTGGATTAACCTCTTCCAAAAGACCCCCTCAACCACCTCGGCCCGAAGAGCTCTCTTCTTTCTCTAAGTATTATAGTAATTATTGACCATACAAATTCTTAGGCAATTAATTATTTCCTGTTTGATTTAGCCTCTTCATATTTTGATTTATAAAGTTAATCTTTTAGTGCAATTTGGCTTTTCATGTGTTTTTCTTTTGTTTTTTAATCTTCCTAAAAAGTCTTATATTTTTGAATACCAGGCGTGTGAGGGATCTTTGGGGAACAAACCCCTGCCCTTCCTGTCTATTAGAGCAACTATAGTATAGTAAAATACTGTGAATCACTGTTTTCAGCTTATTTGTTTTCTCTCCTACAAGCTAGTTGGATAATGGTAAGACCTAAGATAAAATAGCATCTAATGAATATTGGTTATTTTTATTCAATTTCAAATGACCATGTCTGAGGAATTTGTTAAGGTATATATATGACGAAGTATTTGTAATTCTCCCTATATTGGTATCATTATATAAATTAAGCAACTAATACATAACAAAAATGTCTCTTTCTATGTAAAAAATGTTATGGGGAGGTTGAGGTTTAGTGGTTTCCTACTTTGGTTGTGATTATCATACATGAAAGTTGAAGGGACCATACTCGAGTACTCTTGAGATCTGTGTGCTTCCAACAAGTCTGCAGAAACCCCAGCATGCCCAAGACCTTGACTCTGTAGGGAATGGCAAAAATCGGGTAGACCTGAAGCCCTTGCCCCACTCTGCCATTCACTTAACCAGCTGCCTTGGAAGCCAGCAACCGAGGGATGCTCGGCCTCGTCAGATAAGTGCAGTGTACATGAAGCCTCCTTATACATCGCCATGCTCATTCCATTTCTGATTTGGGGCTTTTCCTTTGAAACAGGCCGTGGTGGCCGGGTTGGAACCCACGGGGGCACTCTGTCGTCATACATTGTGAAGAACATTGCTTTGGACAAGACCGATGACAGCAATCCCCGGGAGGCCATTTTGCGCCATGCCAAAGCCGCTGAAGACAACCCGTACTGGGTTTCTCCAGCATATTCCAAGTAAGGAAGCAGCCTTTTGAAATAGAAAAAATATTATGTTTAATCTATTGGGAAGAACGTAACAATAGTGGCTTTGAGGATCTCACTCCTCCATATCTTACTTTATTCTTGAGCAAGAAAAATAGTCCAGGTACCCATAGTTCTGACACCTACACACTTGTTTGTATCTTAGGACTCGACAGTGGTGAATTTTTAAACTACGCCAGTTCTAACAGAGTTACAGCCTAGTGTAAACCATTAATTTTGTGAAGCCCATTCTACCTGTGATTTAAAAAAAAAAAAAAAAGCAATGCCCGTATGCTTTATCCTAGTTAAGGAGGGTTAAAAGCAAATGAAGGGGAGGAGTTTGTAGGTCTGTTATTAAGGACTAACTTTTATTTGCAGAGCTTTACATGTAAGTAACACTTAACACAGATGAGCAGAGCCTGCCTGCTCAGACTCCTTTAAATAGCTTAACATGGGTGAACATGTAGTGGTTCTTAATTAAGGCCACTAAAGTAGCTGCATGTACACTAAAGAAAGGTACCATTGTAGAATTTGGGGGGGTTTCAATGTTTTATTTTAAACTAATTTTGAACTTACAGAAAAGTTGCAAAAACAGTACAGAGAATGCATGTATACTCTTCACCCAACTTCCCCTAATGCTAACGCCTGACATAACCATAGTACAATTAATTAGCAACAACACAAACTTAGCATTGATACAATACTGTTAACTAAGCTACAGACCTCATTTGATTTTCCCAAGTTTTCCCACTGATACCCTTTCTCTGTTCGGGCATCCTCTCCAGAATCCCAAGTTGCGTTTAGTTGTCACTCCCTCGTCTCCTCCAGTCATAACAGTGTCTCAGTCCTTCATGACCTCGTCGCTGTCAATGGACATTGGTCTGTTATTTTGTATATTTTCCCTCAGGTTCGGTTTGTCTGATATTTTCTCAGGATTAAAATGAAACTATGCATTTTTGGCAGAAATAACACAGGCGTGATGTATCCCTCTCAGTGCATCGTTATCAAGGGCTTCACGTCACTGTGTCTTACGGTCGCTGATGCTGACTTTGATCACCTGATTAAGGTGGTGTCTGCCAAGTTTCTCCACTCTAGAGCTACTATCATTACATTTTGAGTTAATAAATTTCTTGGGGGGTGATATTTTAAGACTAGGCAAGCCCTGTCTTTCCTTAAACTTTGCTCTCTAATTTTATCATCCATGGGTATGATTGCTTGTACCAGTTATTACTGTGGTGCTTGCCTAATAGTGATTTTCCATTTCACTTTTTTCTTCTGCATTTATTAATTGGAATTTTACTGTAAGGAAGAATTGCTCCTTCTTTGTTTTTGTAAAATTTATTTTTCAAGTATATTTAATATCAGTATGGACTTTAAAATATTGTACTTACTTTATTCTATGGGTTAAAATACAATACTCTCATGATTTAGTTTGTTACATTGTTCCAGCTTTGGCCAACAGACTCGCCTTCAGAATGGCTCCTGCCTTCTTATAACAAGTCACTGTATTTTTTTGAGCCCTTCCATACTTGCTGGCACCACAAGTTGTCCCAGGCTCATCTTTGTTTTTCTTACCCCAGTCCTAGAATCAACCACTTTCCCAAGGAGCCCTGATTCCTTTGGTTGAAGAACGATGTTTAGAAACCAAGAAGTTGGTGCTAGATGTGCTTGTTGCTACTAAGTTTCATTACTTCTAGCTCCTCTCAGCTGACATATGTATAATATATACACTAACTTATGCACATACACACGTGTGTTTCTATATCTATCTATCTATCTATCATCTATCTATCTATCTATCTATCTATCTATCTATCTATCTATATTTATATTTTAAAACCATGAGTACAAACTAATGTCTCTGATTCCAGTTCTAGACCACAGGGGTGATTTAACCTGTCCCCCTTTCCATATTTGTAACTTCTTTCTCCAATAGTGAGAAACCCAGCTCTCATTATTTACAATATATTTATTTGTTCGCTTCTAATATACACATAAAGTAGTTTCAGAATTGCAACCCCTGTGAGAAACACTTTCTTTAACTAGATTACAGCATTTGTGTTCTTTTTGTCTTTTTTTTAACCTTACAGTATCTAGTCAAGATACTGTTTCCCAAAGTTACTTAGATTAGATCTTTTCTTCACTGTCAGTGTGGTTATGTTATTTATTAGAAATGTACTTAGGCTCATTTGTTAATATTCTTTGTTTAGGTTTCCCTCAAATTCTTTTTTTATTTTTTTTAGGGTATGTATAGACTATGTGAAATATTACTGCAGTGCTAGAAGTCAGAGCTGTAAAAGAGGTATATTCAGAGAAGTGTCACTCCCTCGTCATCCCTGCTCCCCTGTTCCAAACACCCCCAACCCCATTTCAGTCCTTTCCCCACTCACCCCCTGTAGGTAACCAATCTCTTTAGTTTCCGGCTTACCTTCCTTGTATTTCTTTTGCACAAATGAGCGGATATGTATTGTCTTATATTCCCTTCTTTCTTGCATGAAGGGTAGCATGGTGTAAATACTCGTTTGAGCTTAGCTTTTCTTCACTTAGCTAAGTTCTGCATGAGTTCATAGAGCTCATTCTCGTTCTTTGTCACAGCTACATAGTACTCCATTGTATGGATATACCATAGTTTATTCAACTACTCTCCTATGTATGTGTATCTAAGTTGTTTCCAGTGTTTTGAAATTACTAACAATGCCTCAGTGAGTACATTTATGNCAACTTCCAGTGAACCTTCTCTTAAACAGCTTTTCATTCAGGTTAACGTCAAATCTTTGTCTTCTTTATCTCTGTTTTACTTCTGTTATTGTCCTGCTGGTTTATCTCACAGGTAGGGAGATATTACTCAGTGCCTACAAATATGTGTTGTTCTTGAAAAAGTTTTATGAGATTTGGATTTCTGTGAACTAAAAACAAGAACCACCTGGCCTCAGTCTGCTGTCCAGGGGGACATATTGTGTGTGTAAAAGCAAGAAACGCTGAGATCTGAATCTGCTTCGGTGGTGAGCAGAACCGAGTGATGTGTGTTTAGCATCCCAAGATGCCAGTCTCTCATGGCAGTGTAGCTGGGAAAGGCTAACTGTGGTTTCAGGGCTGACAGGAGCAAAGAGGAAGGATGTGAGGAAGGGAACATCTTTTTTATTTTTATAGGGTGTTACACAGATAGTAAGTGATGGAATGGAACTTGACCTTAGAAATAGGACCTTATGGTTTAGAAGCAAATGTCCTAAAAGTTACAGGTAACCGTCAGGTTGATACTCAGTATAGTAAGCCAGTCATCAACATACGAGCAAGATTTTTTCCATTTTTATTTGGCCTCTTTAGTTGATTGCCATGCATTTCCTTTTTAGAGTGTGGTCCGCTGCCTGTGGCATCCAAAGCTGAACCAGATCATGGTGGGAACTGGAAATGGACTGGCTAAAGTCTATTACGACCCCAACAAAAGTCAGAGGTATTTCAGAATTGCCTGTTTTAGATGGATGACAGCAACTGGGGGAAGGGCTTTTTTTTCCACCCTGCTTGTATTTATTTCCTCCTTTGATGGGGATCCACCCTTTTTGGAAAATGCAGCTGGCCCAGAGTAAAGCCTCAAACTTTTAGTATTGCGCTTTAAAGAGGATTTGGGTATCACCCTTGATCCATACAGAATTCAGAGTGAAAGTTTCCTGGGGATTTGCAGCTCTTGAACTGAAATGTTGAGTGCGAGGGGGGAAATGCCCTTCCACTTTGCACACCGCCCTGGGCAGTGGCATTAGCCGTGATGCATTGGAAGGGATTAACAAAGCAGGGACCTAACCACTTACACCAAATGGAACCGGCTAGTCTGTCTGGCCTTTCATCAGATACTGGTTGGATGTTTGGCAGGGTGGTTCTCTGCCAGCAGCAGAAGGGGACAGCACACATACTTTCCCCTTCTAACCCCATGCCCACCCCAAATGCCAAATGAAAGCACACCAATGTGCTTCAAAGGTCAGAAAGCTTCCCGAGAAGCTCAGTCGGTCCCACAGTTTCCATTTTCCTTGGGCACAAAGAGGCACATGTGTCACCACCCCCAAAAGAATGGTTTTGCTTCTTTCTGTTAGGGTACAGTGATTGATTACTTCTTTCTTTAGTGTAAGGCCTTGCTTAGCTAGTATTAAAATTCACATGCTAAATTCACTGGGACCCGCCTCCCCACACCCCCCATAAACCTGTTTTGAGATCCCACATCCTTATGGGGAAAGAAAACCCATCCTTTATTACTGAATATTCGTTAACCATAATTTGGCCCTGAATGGAAGCGGACGGTCCTGTCTTCCTTCAGAAATTTCTGGACTAAGTTTGAAACCCTTGCCCTATAAAATAAACTTCCATATTGTGGTATTTAAGAACAAATAGGATTTTGTTTCTTTTTTAATGAAGAAATTGAAAATGCTAATGTAATTAGGATGAGAGGGAGTCTGTTTCACTTAAGAAAACGATGAACCCCATTTGATAGCACCCATTGAGAAAACAGTATCCTTGGAATCTGTAAGAAATTTGCTTATTTGCATTTGCTTCTCCTGAAAGGGATGACTAAGGAGAAGTAAAATGTTCTGAGCGCCCTTTGGTTAACTCCACGCACTCTTGGGCTGTAGCCCCTTGGCAACACTGCCAAGCCAACTCACTTCCAGACACTTGTACTCTTATATGTAAAATGTGGACAAATGCCACTCAGGGTGTAGACCACCCAGATTGCTTTCATCTGGGACACAAACTAAAACTTGACCCCTCTGACCTTTAGAGTAAGAAGGTTGATTAGTGTTATTAGTATCTCTTGGAGATTTTTATTTCTGTAAATTTTTAAACCAGGGTTCTGCTGCCCAGTTACCTTTACAGCCCTTTCACTCAAGAGTAACCACTGCCCAACAGACCTGCATCCCGTATGTTTAATCTCTTATCACTGAGGGCTCTGCCTCTTACCGTCCCTTAGAAAGTCAAGGACTTGGTGAGATGGTGTGCACAGAGTGTGTTCCTGGAGGTATCTGATGCTTTCAACATAGACTTTCTGTTTCTAAGACCAAGTAAAGAAAATAATATGCTTTTTACCCCCCCTTAGGGGAGCAAAATTATGCGTGGTTAAAACCCAGCGGAAGGCGAAGCAAGCTGAGACTCTCACCCAGGACTACATCATCACCCGTAAGTTGTGAGCATGGTCTCTTCATCATGCGTCCCTTTTCGGCTTTAGTGTGGTATTGATCTCACGGCTTCAGAGACAGGAGACGTCCTCAGAGTTCAGGCGTATATTACAAAATACCCCATTAATGTGGACAGCACTGCGAGTCATGTTGCAGCTGACCCCGTTAGCTTCTGTGACTCATCACAAAGACAGTTATTTCATGTAACTTTCAACCCAAAACGGAAAAGCCTATTTGAGCCTAATGCATTACTCCATAGCAGCCTTTTAAAGAATAACAATCTGTTCTAAGAATAAACAAGAAAGAGTGCTGGTCTTGGAATCAGGGGACCTGGATTTGTCTAGTTCAATTACTGACTAGCAGCATGATATTGAACAACTGAGCTTTATCAGGACAGGGAGGAGACTGGGGCCTCCTTCAGCTCCCTCTGAAATTCGGTGACCGTGTGATAGACCGATCAGAGATATTTAGATATAAAATGAACTACCTGGGGTATGATCAAAAATCTTACCAGGCCAGAGCAACTTCTCTTGGGTTTGTCACGCAACCTCTTTAATCTGGCAGATTTTTGTTTCCCAGAGCCATAGTCTCAGACTGGTTACAGGTCGCAGCTAAAAAGGACACCTTGGATCCTATAGGAATTGTCATGAGCTGATGCCCCTGTGGACAGTGTCTCGGTCTAAAGCCCAGGGGGCGCTGTACTGCTGGGTTTCTCCCTGATGGTGGGTCTCATACAAGACCAACTCCCTTGGAACTTATGATCAGTAAAGAGATCCAGTGACACTTTTTGCAAGAGTAGAAGTGTTAAAGTCGGTGTCATAACCAGTCTAGCTCATGTAATTACACGCGGCCTACTTAAATTCCTCCAGTCGTTTGAAGTGAAAAGCTATTTTTCCCCCTCCTAAAAATACTGTTGTGTCGTGTTGCCCGATAGAGTGACGGGAGGCTGTGTTTCTCAGCTCCCCTGACTCCCAGCAGGCATGTCTCACTGGTGAGTGACATGGTGCTGGCCCAAGGCTAGCAGTTGGGGTAGAGGGTAGGGGACGCTGGGAGCGTTTTTGAGGTGTTACAGACATTTCTGTCATTCATATTATAAGTTCCTTTTAAACCCCTATTATTTTTTTACCTTCCTCACCCAGTCCCCTGGAAGAAGTTTTCCCTTTTAAAAGGGGTTTTGATCTACATGTTAAGCATCCAAAGAAACAATTCTCGTGCTTCTTTTGGTCAAAAAAAAAAAAA